GTTCAATTCCGGTCAAGGGCATGTACATTGGCTGCGGGCACATCCCCCGTGGGGGTTGTGCAGGAGGCAACTGGTCAATGTCTCTCTCTCATCGATGTTTCTAGCTCTTTATCCCTCTCCCTTCCTCTCTGTAAAAAATCAATAAAATATATTTAAAAAAGAATGTGCACCAAATGTTTAAGCACGGGGGTTGAGGGGGCTCCTATTATTAAGAGTACTGACTGCCACCAAGAAAAAAGAAAAACAATGACAACAAAAATGGCAATCAAACAATCCCCAAATGAATATAGGTGATATATCATTTTATAAAGTGCCATTCAATTTTTTAGTAGTAAGAGAAGCTGGGCACAGAAGAATTTCCTTGTAATCCCCATTCTGAGCTTGGCCTTCACAAAGCACCAATGTGAATAAGGCACCTCATTCTATTTGGGCAGTTAAACTGAGTATGAAGCTGGGAAACAGAATAGCAGGGAAAATTACTAAGTCCTTGGAAAATAAGAGCTATGAAAAATGGCTTAAGTAGGTGGGATTATTTATCATTGAAATAAAAACTCCAGGGGAATGACTTCACTATGGTTTTCAAACACAGGGAAGGTGACCAGCTGTTCTTTTTCCACTGCATGTGAACAAAAGAAGGCTGGTTTGAATTTCTATAGGGAAGACGTACAAAGAACTATCTGATCAGCAGGATAGGTTACAGAATCTCCTTTGCTGAACATCCAGAATCCCATCCACAGCCATATGTCTGAAATAATTCAGGCGCAGCCTTGTCTGTCATCAGGGGGAGCATGCTAGATAACCCAAACTTTCACCAACCCCCAAACTCTGAAATCGGAATCAGAGCTATTGGCTTACAGTCAGACTTCCTTTTGTTTATTTTCACCCTGCGCCTGGAAAGGAGGAGATATAGCAAGGAAGACCAATACCCCATGAGGACTCCTAACTACTATCTCAATTCCAAAAAAAAGGCTTTTCTTGGTATATAATTTCACACCTCCGAACCAGAATTAATTCACAGGTCATTTAAAGCAGAAGACAATGCAAATACCCGGCTCTAGTACACACTGGATTCCTTGCCCTATTCCCCACAATGTCTGCTTTTCCTTATTCAGTCTTGGCCTTAGCTCAGAATTGTACATTATCTAAAAAACTTTTTAAACCAAGCGCTAAAATTACAAATAAGGTCCTTCAGTTGTACAGCTTAAGTGAAATTGTTTCAAATGTTGTATTTTTTTAATTGGGAGAACATAAATCTGATTTTAATATTAACAACTGGCTTGCCTTTCTCTGAAAACACAAAATGTAAAGAAAGCAATCAAAACATTTCACATACATTCACAATCATATCACATTTCTTTGGAGGAACAATGAGGGAAAGCAGCACTCCAGCAGACTGCATTTAGCAAGAGCATTTACTGGTGGTACCAGAAATCTGTATGAATGTACATTCATGCCTTTCATTTCAAATCTTATGAAGCAGAGATTGGTGACAAACTGGCAGCTAGTGGGCCAAATCAGGTCCACCCATGTGTTCTACTGGGTCTGAATGCATTTTAAAATATTTTGTAATTTAGTTGCCAATTCTAAACAAATCAGAATTTTTCATGTAAAAACCCAAATTCTCAGCTTCTCTTGAAAGATGGGAAGATCAGGAAACTCTGTGTCACAACTGGCTGGAGTACCTGCAGCCTGTAGGAAGGAGAGGAGCCCTTCAGTTTGCCATGGTCCCCACCATGCCCTGTCTCCCCAACACTGAGAGGGCAGGTCACTGCTATTTATAATCACACCGCATTTATCATTACACCTCGCCTGCCACACTGGTGCCCCCTAAAGACATACCATTTACTAAATAAGGGTAGCAGTTTTCACCAACAAAATAGAAAAGTCTAATGACCTTCACATTGGCTTGTCCACTTCTCTCCAATAAAGACATGAAGAGTAATTCCTATCTCAGGAGCCGAATTAGTGTCAGGCAGTTGCATACTGCTACAGGGTTTTCTCTCTTTGGGGAGGAGGGTGTGTTATTTCTTCTCCAACAAAATAGCTGTTTTTACTTCCTTTTCTTTTTTCTTTTTTTTTAAAGAAAAGCTGCTCAACCCTTTGCGGGAGAGGACTCTGAAGAAAATCACATAAACCCACATTTTTAGAGATGGTTTTCCTGTTTGTTTACACTTAAGTCAGGAAACCTGAGAAGAGGTTGGTTTAAAAAAATAATAAAATAAAAAGACACATGTGGCTATGAAGACTAAACTTTGACAAACATACCTGAACTTAAATTACTATACAGTGGATTCCAAAGATGTCCGAGTTGCAAAAGACATAATTTTGAATCTCTGATCTGGCACTATCTTCAGTTACTGTTTATGTGTCAATCAAAAAACTGTCTCTTAATTTTATAGGCCGCCCATCTCATGTTTGTCTCAAAATACTTATTACCTAGCTACGAGTCACTGACCTGGGCCTGGATCTGAAGGACTTCTTTCTAGAGATCAGTGTTGTTCAAAGGCCCAGGACTTGGCCCTCTGGAGGACCTTATGCCGACAGTGTGGGTGGCTGGTTTCTCCTAGGCGGTCCCTTGTCGTTGACCTGAGAGAAGAGCACATCTTTACCTAGGCTTTCTCTCACCTCTGTTATCCCTTACTCTCTTGGCAAAGATTACTGTGTCAGATGCTAAGTCCTTTCTGCAGGGGTACTGTGGGCTAAGATAAACCATCTTCAACTCCCTGCAGGCTTCTCAGTAACCTGGAACCTTGGGCTTATACTTATCTTCCGGTCCAGAGAACACCTTCTGAATCAGCTCCACAAGCCACTGACTCTCAGGATCAAGGACTTCAGATCATCCCTATACTCTGCTGGTTTCCCTAATGTCTAAAAGCCTGTGACTTATAGAACCTTTATCTGAATTCTGGCTTATCATTTCCACTGGCCAGAACAATGTGAGAATAAAAAATAAAAAAAAATGGAGCTCTGCTTAAACAGATGTTTCGCCTTAATCTACAAGGCAATTATTCCCATTCCCAGGATGAGATTGGGGGGGGGGGGGGGGGATAATGATAGTGAAACTAATAAGGCAAAACAAGGAAATTGGACTTCTCAACTTATTCTGAGTTGGACATTCCCAGTGTACAACAGTTCGATTTTGTTGATCACAAATATTTGTATTTCAAAATAAGTGCCCAAACCTTAAATCCAACCTAAAACAGTACCTGATATTTGGACTAGCACCTTTTTCCCTTCCATTTTCATAAGTGAGTTCACTTAGCAAGCTCTCTGCCCACATTAGGAATGCTCCCCCTGACCCCTTCCTCCATGCTGTCACTGGGGCCACTTTCGCATAGATCCTCATTTCACAAGCAAAGCTGAACATCTATCCTAAAAGTGGCCCTTAGTTCCTTTGGAGCATTTGGTCTCAATAGAAATCTCTCTCATAATGTTCGTATGTTGGCAAGTCTGAACTGCCCGAGCTCCTTCACAGCATGCCAAGGATGGACGGCAGGACGGCCACATGTGAGCAAGAGCTCTGTGCTTGTCCTCTGTTTCACGGGGATGAACATGGAACGTCTCTTCTCCAACAAGCAGCCATGGGGGAGGCAGTTCTGCTGCTCACTTGTCTCTCCCTCAGAGCAGCTGCAGGAAACTCGATGCCAGAGAACAGACAATCACGTTCTTCTCCCAAGAAGCTGCCAGCTGCCTTTGCAGAGCAGGAAGTGTGGCATTTGCATCAAAAATATACCCAAACCTCTTCTTTCCAGGAGCGTGTAATCTTTCCCTTCCCACCTGCCGAGCATGTGCTTGGAAAGAGAGGTGCCCCTCCCACCGCTTCGGGCTGCTTCCCAGCATCCTTTCACATCAGTGCTTTTTGCTGGTGGCAAAAACATGGTCCCTGGGGTAGATGCTGAGAAAACAGGGTGCCAAGTCCAACAGCAGCTATGAAAAGGGTGGGAGAGGGTGCTCACATCCCGAAGGGCACAGGGAGGAGAAGGGAACTATTTTCCCTTTGGAAACAGAAATTCTATCGGGAAGTCATTCATAAAAACAGAACATTTTCCTTTTTCTTTTCTTTTTTTTATAGAAAATTCTTTCCTTCTAAGCTCCAAATAGCTGTTTTCAGTAAGAAGGAGTACGAGAGATAAATCTTTCACTGGTGAGTACAAAATAAACAAAAAGTGAAACATGAGTCACAGGCTGGGTTGTGGGGAGAACACTTTCAGATTCAAGAACTTAGTGATTTCAGGTCCCATGACTTCTTCAGACAATATTCGAAGAGCACACACATCTTTGGAACAGTTCCCTCCTTTTCACCTTCTTAAAAAGAGGTTTGTCATTAGTCAAAACCAGTTCAGCAGATTCACTGGCCACCACTTCCACACACGGCTGTATTTCAGTGGGTTCTGACCCCGAATATTTTGGACACAACTTTTTAGACCAGAAGCCAAGTGACACATGAACCTCAACTTCCAGTACTGGAGTCCAGTTGTGTATCGGTCTCTCAAGAATAAAATTCCAGGCACCACCATCTGAGATACAGCGCAGCAAATGTAGCCCAGGAGAGCTTGGCAGGCAGACCGGGCCCTCGCGTGATGCTACTGAGACCCAGAGGTGGTCCTGGGAGCTGAGCTCTGGAGCCATTGCTTGTTGACCAGCCCAACTCAGTCAGAACAGTCTAAACAGTAATCCTGGCCCAGCAGCCCCCACCTCAGCCAGTCACGCCACCCACAAATACATAAACACTCGTTTTATAAAAGGTGATTATATTTTCAGTCACCTTCTTGACCTTTTAAACAACCATGGCATCATAAGTCCCACACCTAAAGAGGGCAGGAGTATCATCCCTAATGACATGGGTTCCAGATAGACTGACAGTTGATTTCTGTGGTTGTGAAGGTATTAAAAGTGCTTTTTCTACAAAGCATTTCAAATCAAAGTAGCCAACAACGAACAGGCAATGTTTGCAGAGATAAATTAAGTCTGAACGATCAGTGCAGGTATTTTCCTGTTTCTTTTTGTTATGTTTCCTCTCTACCTCTCAGGATTGGCTCTAACCCAAGGTCTAACCTACCATGGCAAGCTGTTGTCAGATCTTATGGACATGCCTTTCCGAGCTCCACATGGTTTTAGAAAACTGGAGACTTTGCCAAGATATCTGTTTGAGGATAAGGGAAGGAGAACAAGTACTGGCACGAATTTCACTCCAAACACCCTCAGCTCCAAGTGGGCTACTCAGCCAGAGAGATGAGCTGGGGAACCAGAGAGGCGGCAGCTAAAGTGGCAATGCTTAGACTCTTCCGTTTGGTTACAAAGGGGCGACGGCGTGGAGTTCACCAGTGTAGCTGCAGCAACCAGGTTCTGCTTTACACACCCCGGAGGCAAGGAGCTTGGACGGAAGGGCAGGAGGGTCCTCCTCACCTAAGGAAAGAAGAGAGAGCAGAGACACAGATCACTACACCTCACAAGACTAGGCACTCAGACCAGAACATGGCAGACCCTAGGTTTGGACCACAGGCTTTAGGCAAGTGAGGCAGGCATCCCAAACAGCTCAAGCGGCTAAGAGGCCCCAGTTCCCTTGCGGTGAGTCAAGGGTTTGCATGCCTGACTCCAGCTGGTCACGGGCACAGTAAGGATGACACGGCATCCTGCAGGGGCTCCCTGGAGAAATGGGGCCTCCCTCAGGGCCCTACTTGGAACCTGTGCTGAGCTGTGGGGAGAACACCGCATCCCTGAACCCAGGTTCAACAGATGTGGGTTAAAAGACATGGGGATGGTGAACAGTGCAAGTCCCAACAAAGATCCAGGTCATCGAATACTGTTGGGGACCACTGCATTTTGGTATTTGGATGTTTCTGGGGTTTAGGACGGTGGCCTAGTGCACTCGTTGTATATTACATAACGTGGAACTGGGCAGTTCACCGTAACTTAGCATCATCTCACACCTATGAACATTCCCATTACCTGGGAGCCACTGAAACTATCAATGCAGTTGTGTTACTTCCCATCAGGTGTCACTGCCACAGAGGTGTGCCCCCAAACCAGGAAAGCACTTTCTCGAATTAGGAGCAAACGCTGGGCCTGCATGGAAACAGACCCACTGGCACTTGGGGCCCCGGCCTTACCCAGGCCCGAGGAGGACGACACGCTCTCGGTCAGCGAGGACGTTTCTGTTTGGTCCGCCGACAGCCCTTCCATGAGGGGCAGAGACAGCTCGGAGGAGGGCACGGAGGAGTCGTAGATGCCCGAGTCCCGCGGCATGCCCGAGGCACCCACGGCCTTCCCGGCGCGCAGCAGGGGCTGCAGGACCGGGGCGCCCGCGGCCTCCGCGGCCTCGTCGGGGCCCAGCTGCTGCCCCTCTGGTGACCCGGGGGCCGGCACCTCAGCCTTGAGGTCACTTTCGGGCCCCAGTTTGCACATGACGTCATTCAGCACCAGGCCCGAGTCGAACTTCTCCAGGACCGGCTCCTGGCGGCGGAGCGGGGGAGGCTGCGAAGGCACAAACTGCTTCTCAAACCAGTCGGGCTCCTCGTCGATGAACTGGTGCATGTTGCAGATGGCCACGTACAGGGACCGGCCCGCCTTGCTCCGAAAGTAGTTCCTCCTGCTGACGTGTCCGAGCTCCGGGAGGCCGTGATCTCGAGGGAGGCCGTGTTCTCGCGGGAGGCCGTGTTCTCGCGGGAAGCCGTGGTCTCGCGGGAGGCCAGGGTCTCGCGGGAAGCCGTGGCCTCGCGAGTGCAGGTGGGAGCAGAGCTGGGGCAGGTGGTCCATGAGCTTGTACTTGGTGCTCAGGTCCAGGACGCCAGGAACGTCCCCCTCGCAGGAATAGTCGAAGTAGACGGCGATGAACTTGCTGAGCGCCACCGCCGAGGAGCTCTGCTTGGCCTGGCGGAGCTTTTCGGCGATGGCGGCCACGGCCACCACGAAGAGCTCGCCTTTCCCGGAGCCGCGGCCGCCTCCTTTGTGCTTGTAGTTCTTCTTGTCCACGAAGTACTTCATGCCTTTGGAACAGACCACGATGATGAACTGGGACTCGTGGATCTTCTGGATGACCCATTCTCTCTGCCCTTCCCGGCAGAGGCTGAAGTCTTCCCATAGGTCCAGAGCCACCTGGGAAAACAGGACCCACACTCACTCATACAGCCTGGAATGTGGCCGCCAAATATTGTTACAAATCAGTCCTAGCTAGTTTGGCTCAGTGGATAGTCAACCTGCGAACTGAAGGGTCCCAGATTCGATTCCAGTCAAGGGCACATGCAGGGGATCCTGACTTGATCCCCTGTGGGAGAGGGTGCAGGAGACAGCCAATCAATGATTCTCATCATGGATGTTTCTCTCTCTCCCTCTCCCTTTCTCTCTGAAATCAATCAATATATACATATACATACATATATATATATATATATATAAATTTATTTATTTTTAAAAAGAGCACATCATCTCTCCCTTTTTAGCAGCTGTAAGGTGACCTGGCCCTGAGGAACAGCTAACAGTCCATGGGTGATGGTCACACAGCAGACCCTCTGCATCATGCCCTCGGTTTAGCATAATGTGGGGTCATTACCGCTCCTGTCCTACTCGTGAAAAGACAGAAGCACGGAGCTTCTCACAACCTGCCTAAGACACATCATGTGTGAGGCCCTCAAGGGACTTATCAAGTGTGATGCAGAACATTGAAAATGTAGGTCCTGGGGTTGGTCTACCTGATGAGCAAGGCTGCCTACATGGCGGGACAGGTCCAGAGAGAAAGCTGAAAGGTGATGGAGGGACGTGGGTGAGGGACCCCCAAAGTGGGTTGAGAAATGGGGTTCAGGTCTGGATGTCACAATCACCCACAATGTTGGGATGACTCATGTCCACAGAGTATGACTGACAAAGAGGATCTCCCCAGCCATCTCAAAGCCATGCTATTTACTAGTTGGTCAGTGGCTGGAGAGGAGGGTGAACTGCAGTAACATGGCCATTTTGGTTAATTCATGAGTGACCAGCACTTCCCACCATGACTTCACAGTGGTCCTCAGAGTCATATCCTACATGGCCTTTAACCCCAAAGGGGGTCTGGCAGGGAGACTGAGAATGGGAGAAGAAAACCAGGCCTCAGAGGTCTTCACCTTCTCAGACCATTTTCATCTGATTCTACTGAAATCATCTCTTGGCAAGTGTATCTTTCTCCTCCTTTCTTTCTTTTTTTTTTTTTTTTTTTTTTTTTAGCTAATTCTCACCCAAGGGTATTTCACCATTGATTTTTTTTTTTTTTAAGAGAATAAAAGGATGAAAGGGACAGGGAGAGACAGAGAGAGAAACATCAATGTAAGAGAGACACATTAATTGGTTGCCTCCCGCACGTGCACCAACCAGGGCTGGAGGTCGAGCCTACAGCCGAGGTACATGCCCTTGACTGGAATTGATCCCAGGACCCTTCAGTCCGCAGGTCAACGCTCTATTCACTGAGCCAAGCCAACTAGGGCTTCTCTTCCTTTCTATAGCTCAGAAACTAATTCCCGATGGTTATACCCAAACACAACAGCCACAGTCTGTTGAGGGGGAAGGGGGTCTAAAATGACTTTGCCTTCTGCTCTACGGTGTTACCAAGGGGAAGAAACCCTCAACATCTGTCTTTCCACTTGCTGAAAATAATCATGAATTGTCTTACACATGCTCTAATTCTCCCAACGTTATAAATTATAAAGTCTAAGAGATATTATACCAAGCATTTTGAAAAATGTTCCTATGTTTAATCCAGCAATTCCATTTCCAGGAATCTGTCTTTGGAAAATCATTAGAAATGAGGCAATACTGAAGTACAATACTGAGATGTTTAACAATTTGAAATAACATGGATCATGTGGCTGATTAAAACTGCAGTTTATATAAAGCTGCTAATTGTGTAAACAATTATTAAAATGAGACAAAGAAAATAACTCCGACCTATTCAAAATGCAAAACTGTGTGTATGACTTCATCTCTGCAGAAAGACTGGAAGCAAATACACCAAATAGTAACCATCATTCCTCGTTTCTCCAAGTGGAGATTACAGGCCATTTTTTGTCATATTTTTCTAGTTTCCAAATTTTCTACAGTATTACAATCGTTTGCTGTTGCTTTTTAGCACATGTGCTAATCTGCCAACCTCTCTCCACCTCCCTGCATTGGGAAACCAGCCCAGCCTTGTAAGTATGTTTCTTTTACACTAGGGGGCAGCCTCACCACATGGGGAGATTCCGAGAAACCCTCCAGCAGGCACAAATAATCCAACTACATAATTATTGTACAATTCTTGCATTCGTAAGAAACGTGTCCATGAGAGCGTCAAACTTCGCTCTAAGATTAACACTATATCATTATAGAAGAGCTACGTTTGAATAGCTTAACTCAGAAGAACAGATAAAAAACCACAGCAGACCATTTAAGCGCTTGATGCGTTATTATTTCCCCTTCTTAGCAAAGCTCCCCCACCTTGTCAAACCTGCTACTTTTCTTGCCCTGATCTCTCTGACCTTCCAATGCTCTGTCGAGTGACCACCTCTCCCCACCCCCACTACATGCTCCCTGGGCAGCTGCCTGCCCTTTGTCCCCATACAACTTCCTGCCAGGTGGGTGCCACTCAAAGCTTCTGAGCAGGAGTGAGTCGGGGATAGAACTGAGCGTGAGAAAAGTGATGAGTAGAAGAGACTGGACAAAGAGTGCGAGGCAGACCCCGAGTTGGAAGCCAGGCACTGCTGGAGGGCAGGTACCCCCTAAGGAGGCCTGGAGGAGGAACATGGTGGCCAGGAGAGGGTGCAGAGCATGTGCCCCATGCCCCCCACAGAAGGTGAAAGACTTGTTGCCGAACCAGTTTGGCTCAGTGGATCGAGCATCTGCCTGCGGACTGAAAAGTCCCAGGTTTGATTTGGTCAAGGGCATGTACCTTGGTGGCGGGCACATCACCGGTAGGGGGTGTGCAGGAGGCAGCTGGTCGATGTTTCTCTCTCATCGATGCTTCTAGCTCTCTATCCCTCTCCCTTCCTCTCTATAATAAATCAATAAAATATATTTTTTTTTTAAAAAAATTTTATTTTTAAGTGAGAGACTTGAGATTCCTTACCTCGCAGCCACAGAAGTCCTGGAGGAAGTAGGCGAAACACTGGACAACATTCATGTGATTCTGGCCGTCTTTGCTGGAATAGCAGAGGAAGACCTTCGGCCGCGGCCGCAGCCTCTCCCGGGGGAGTGCCGTGGCGTAGGCTGAGGACTCAGAACTCTCTTCATCTAAATGTGAATATATGTTTTCTAAATTTGGGAAAGAAGGTAAGATGGACAGCGATGAGCAACGCTTTGTCCTGTCCCCTAAGACCGGGGCCCTAATGTCATCGTCAAGAAACAAGAGGTGAAGAGGTGACACTGCCACACAGAGTCCAGGAGCCCCCAGGCCCTCCCAGATGCCCGCCTGGGGGGACCAGCCCTCAGGCCCTGCCCTTGGCGGGGGACACCCCGCCCACAAACCTTGCTGCTTCTTGCGGCACATCACGGTGAAGAGGGTGGCGAACGCCGATATGACGACCAGCGGCACGGTGATGGCCACGGCTCGGATGGGCCCGGCCCACGGGGAGTGCACTGGGAAACCCCAAAGGGAAGGCTGTTACACCCGAGCAGCGGAACGGCTTCAAAGAGAACCCGTGTTTTCTTTTTCTTTTTCTGTCTAAGCCGCATGACAGGGTGTAGGGCCCCTTGACCACCTTTCTCTGCTGTCGGTTCGGTAATTTTAAAAAAGGGACTCGTTCTGAAGAAACAGTTCAACAGTCTGCTAACTGTAAATGCCTTTGAGTGAGAATTTTGCCTAAGGAAACCTCCCACCACCGCTTTTCTCCCGAGGACAATTGACTATTTATTTAGTTCCAGAAGACACACACCACACTGCCTTTGATCTTCCAGGCATCCACATGAGGGCGGAGGGAAGTCAGAGCTGATGGAACAGCCCGTGAGAGAGAGGAGCTCAAGTTTTTGTTGTGTTTGTTTTTGTAAAACCATTAGGTGCAGAGACCTTGGTATGTATACTCTAGTCCAGAGCCAACGTTTCACACACAAAAAAAGCCTTACCTGGCTTTAAAGCATAATGCACCACTTTTCTTGTTGTATTAGTGTCATCCACCAGCTGCAAAACAGAGGACGCTACATTATTATTTTTAAGTGATAGCATTTCAACAGAGTCCATGCTTTCGTCGTCTGTGGGCAGTGCGGGGTGGGAGGAAGGAGAACGGGGGAGGGCAGGGCTGCCGCTGTGATCATTCACCAGCAGAGGTAGACACATCTCTGGTCAGACAAAGCTCTGCTCTACCAAGTCAAAAGTCATGTCTTCATGAATGAAAGGGGTGTTTGTTCATTGATGAAACCAGCTAGTGATTGCAGGTTCTAACAATTTTCAACTGAATAGCATCTTACCACTGATCTTACTGAATGCTTTAAGAGGGTGTGTCTGCTCAGAACCACACATTGCTACAGAGTAATGCAAGAACCAAGTGTTTCTACCAAAATGTTAAGACATGTTGGCTGTCTCTGAATAGGAAGGCTATGGACAATTTTTAATTTCTCTTTCTATTTTCCTTTTACTCCTGTTTTTGCAGTATGTTTGATACTGGAAAAGAAATTACAAGAAGAAAAGAAAAAATTCTTATTTACATGCTCTTTTAAGCAGAACTTAGAACTCATGTAAATTTATACAGGACAATGTCAGCAGAAATCTAGAAAAGTATAGGCAGATGTAGTGGACATAGCTTTTGCTTTGCTGTTTCATTACTAAAACAAGACATTTTAGAAACTAAAGTTTTAAAAATATACCTTTGTAAGGAAGAAGGAATATAGAAGTTTTAAATCATGGTTATGTGAACTATATGGTCACATAAAAATATTTATTTTGAAATATTTAATTAAAAAATCAAAGATGAATTTCACATAAACTTTTTTAAAAGCAAGTTAAGGACCTTGTAAAAATATAACTGCATACCTTCAATGGCTTGAAATTTAGTGTTGTAAACAACTGGGATTTAAAAAAATTTTTTTTTAAATATATTTTATTGATTTTGTACAGAGAGGAAGGGAGAGAGATAGAGAGTTAGAAACACGATGAGAGAGAGTCATCGATCAGTTGCATCTTGCACACCCCCTACTGGGGATATGCCTGCAACCAAGGTACATGCCCTTGACCGGAATCGAACCCGGGTCCCGTCAGTCCCCAAGCCGACGCTCTATCCATTGAGCTAAACCGGTCTCGGCTTAAAATATATTCTATTAATTTTTTACAGAGAGGAAGAGAGAGGGATAGAGAGTTAGAAAGATCAATAAGAGAGAATCATCAATCAGCTGCCTCTTGCACACCCCCTACTGGGGATGTGCCTGCAACCAAGGTACATGCCCTTGACGGAATCGAACCTCGGACCTTTCAGTCCGCAGGTCGATGCTCTATCCACTGAGCCAAACCGGTTTCAGCAACAATTGGGATTTTAAATGAGCTGGACTCATTCTATAGAATTAATAATAGGCCTTTCTTGAGTTATACGCACCTCAATTATATAATCACCTGGAGATACATTTTGAAGGAGGCAGCTGGTTGTCTCTGTATTTTGCTCCTGTAAAGAAACAATACTTTTAAAACTTGCTTCTTGGATAAAGGTCATCAGGACCTCTCTGTTCCCCCAGAACTGAAGAGCTCATCTAATTTTTTTTTTTTTTCCAGGAGCCGTCAATCAGATCAGAAAGCCACTGTGCTCATCTGCCACCTTATCTGAACTTCACTTTGGTAAAAGGCCTGGGAGAGTGTGGGACTCCTGTCATACTGCACACTTGGCTGGTGGTACCCTCAGCAGGAATATTTTATTTGGAAACAAAGAAATGATGTAGTTAGAATAGCCTTTACTTAATAAAAGGGTGGGGAGAGAAGTCACCCGCCTGCGTTTGGGTTTATGTGCCATAATTTTAACTTGAGCAGAAGGTCAGAGGCGGTGAGAGCCGGCAGGAAAGCCACACTGCACACACCCAGGAGCATGCCCACCCAGGGAGCCGCTGGGGTATCCACCGCCACTGACCATCTCTCACGGCTCCCAGGGCCGGCCCCGCAGTCCTGCGAGCTCCCATGACACCTTTCCCACTCCCTCTGACCGCCTCCAGGGTAAGAACTTGGTCACTGAGTTTCTACTTAACCTTGGCCTATGTGGAAAGCCAGCAGCCACTGAAATGCCAGTGACAAGGCTCCTCCATGTACTTTTCCCACTGACAGCTGTGAGACCCCAGGCTCCCCATCTGTACAGCGGGGCCAACAGCAGTTCTGCTTCACAGGGTGGTAAGGCTTCCATGAGCACAGAGCTTGGTGGCTGCCACACAGGGGGCACCTGGTTCATGTTTGACTTACAGAAGAACAAACTAGAAATGCTTCTCATTACCGTGGGTCCTTGGTAATATCCTTCCCGGGCTACGTCACCACCGGGAGAGCTGGGGTGCAGGCAATCGGGGAGTGAGGGGTGACGGCAAAATGTTTTGAGACACACCCCGTGATAATAGTCTGGAATATCTACCCACTGCTGAGTCAACATCACCTAATGTTCATGCTGAACCATCCAAATGCCGGGGGCTCGGGGGTCACTTTATTTATTTATTTATTTATTTATTTATTTATTGAAAAATAATAAATTGACATTTTATTGGTTAGAAATGCTCCAATATTGACTATTTCATACACCTAATTTTAATTTAACAGGGGTTAGGGCTATGGGCTTGCTGCAATGACATATGGATTTAAGCTGAGTTTTCTTTTTTCTTTTTTCTTTTAACAAGTTTTTATTGTTCATATTATTACAAATGTTCCTTTTTCCCCCCCCCACCATTGCTCTCCTCCACCAGGTTCCCACCCCACCCTCTGCCCTTTCCTCGGGGGTCACTTTAAAACACGGAGCGGCCCACCTGTTTGCAGGTCTTTCGCTTGAAGGGCCCCTCGTGCTTGAGTCTGTAGTGAAGGTAGAAGAAGCGGAAGCCGAAGGCGTGAGGCGCGTGGCTGAAGGACACCTGCATGTCCGAGCCGTGCTGGGTGATGTTCAGGTTCCGAGGCTTCCAGACTGGGCGGAGAGAGGACCCGCGTGAGCACCCCACGGCCCCCGACACCACCGGCCGGCACCCCGCCCAGGCAAGGGCAGCTCCACTTACAGGGCTTGCAGGCCAGGTTGTCCGGCTGTAACAACAGGTCGCAGGCTGTTGACAGAGAGACATGTGTTTTGGTTATCGGACAGTTTGACATTTTTCTTGCCCAACAATTCAACCAACATGAATATGTGGCACCGGGTGCTGCTGGGAAGGGTACTACGAAATACATCGATGGAACACTGATGTTCGGTGCAGTTCAGCTGGATCTTATGAGAACTTAAAGTGCACAACCTAAAAACGTGAATGCAGGTCACTGTATGACAACAGTACAGAGTCACCCGGATTTTAAAAGCTCGCCAAGCGTTACACAGTCTCAAGGCCAGCAGCCCCGGGCAGCAGGAGGGTTCGTGCCACTGCCACGTTGGAGCCTGCGTTCGCTGTAAACAGAAATGATGCTGGCCCTGGCCCCCTGTGGAAGGGTTTGGGCACAGGAGATCGAAGTGAGCCTGTTAACTGTCTCTGACTATTTTAACCTTCACTAGCCTTCTAATTTAAAATCCTTTTGATTGAGTCTAAAAGTGACATCAGGCATTTACTAAGGAGTGGCAGCATCCGTGCTGAAAACCAGGCACCGAAGCCAATACTTTGAAACGATTTCAATGCAATAGAAACACAGTGAGAGAGGCCAACTAGCTAGTCCAATATGCCATGTTGCTAACCTAGGGAGAACCCTCTGGAAGAGGTCCATACAGTTCCAAGAAAACCAAAGGCAGCCTCAAGGTCACTGTACTGAAATAGTGATAAGCACATCTCCTGCCTACACCTCAGTCCCAAAGAGACACACTGACTGATTCCAACGGGAAAAATTAATCTTAAATTATGCCAAGTCTGCCCAGCTGGTGTGGCTCAACTGATGCACCGGGTGTGCATCAACTGATGCACCGGGTCACCGGTTTGATTCCTGATCTGGGCACATGCCCGGGTTGCAGGCTTGATCCCCAGTGGGGGGGCATGAGGAAGCAGCTAGTCATTGCTTCTCTCTCATCAATGTTTCTATCTCTCTATCCCTCTCTCTTCCTCTCTGAATCAATAAAAACCATACTTGCCCAGCCAGCATGGCTTAGTGGTTGAGTGTCAACCTATAAACCAGGAGGTTATGGTTCAATTCGCAGTCAGGGCACTTGCCCAGGTTGTGGGCTTGATCCCCAGTGTGGGGCGTGCAGGAGGCAGCCCATCAATGATTCTCTCATCATTGATGTTTCAATCTCTTTCTCCTTCTCCCTTCCTCTCTTTGAAATCAATAAAAATATATTTTTTTAAAAACCATACTTAAAAAAAATTATGCTAGGTTTGATTTAGCCAAGTTTTTTATGAACACATGCTTTGGATCCTCCCTCTGGTTGTTATGTATGAGGATATGTTAGGTGCTAATGGTCTTTTCCCAATGGAATCTTATTTAATTAAGAAAAATGAGCCTAGTGGGTGTGGCTAGGGGTTGAGTGTCAACCTATGAATCAAGAGGTCATGGTTTGATACCCAGTAAGGGCACATGTCCAGGTTACGGCTTGGTCCCCATCAATGATTCTCTCTCATCTTTGATGTTTCTTTCTCTCCCTCTTCCTTTCTCTCTGAAATTGATAAAAAAAAAAAAAAAAAATATATATATATATATATATATATATATATATATCTTTTTTAAAAAAAGAAAATGAGACCAATTATTATAAAAATAACTTTGCTGCATAGAAAACAAAAAAGAGACGGACTAGAAGAAAACAGCCAGAGTCAGCGTTCCGCAAAGGGAACACTGATGAAGACGGGCGTTGAGAATAAAAGCACCGCGGAGGAGGGAGAGGGCAACCAGGTCACACAGGAGGGCGTGTCGGATCCTCTGACCCTGGAATGCCAGACGGAGCGGCTGGCAGGAAGGCAGAGACCTGCTGCAGCCCTCAGGGTGCCTGCGGCTCAGGGAGAGGAGGGAGACACTGTATGCAGAGCAGATGAAGAGGAGGCCGGGCAGCATGGTTAGGGCTGGAGGGCGTGGATCTGAAGTCAGACTTCTGGGGTTCCAGCTCCAGAAAGCCCTTTGACCTCTGTGTGTGAGCCACATCTCATCACTGAGATGGTAAGATTACATTCTTTGTCACAGGGTAAGCTGGGCTAGTATTTGGAAAGCATTAAAGCAGGGCCTAGCACCTATGTGCTAAATAAATAAGTAGAAAGAATAAATAAATTTCCAGGAAGAGGTGATCTCGGGAACATTGCTTACTTTTCTTAATCTAACCCTGAAAACGACAGGGAATCATCACCGAGGCCACCCTCCTGGTGACAGAAGATGAAATCATTTCATGCTTTACCCCAAAAACCAACTTATACTTCTTATTCCTATTTTTTAAAATATATTTTATTGATTTCAGAGAGTAAGGGAAAGCGGGAAAGAGATAGAAACATTAATAATGAAGAGAATCATTGACCGGCTGCCTCCCGCACTGAGGTTTGAGCCCACAACCCGGGCATGTGCCCTGACCAGGAACTGAACCCTGATATCCTGGTTCATAGATCCAGGCTCAACCACTGAGCCATGCCAGCTGGGCTTATTCCTATTTTTTTTTTTTTTAATCAAATGGTTTTAATACATGACTCCCAGCATCCTGGGCCAAACCTCAATTCTAAAGGTTGCTTTTCTCTGTACCATGCTGGTTTTAGACCAGTATCTGGTGGGTTTCTTAAACACCGATCTGTGGAAAATTAAAAGCAGAAATGTCATCATGGGAACCAGGCAGAAAGACCAAACTCACCTCGGGTTCTGAAAAAGAAAGGGTGATAATTGCTTTCATTTTTAATGGAAGGAAAAGGGACAATCTTGACGAAGTAATCCGTCTCAAACTTCATATTCAGGAAAGGTTGAGATTCCATTCCCTAAAAGGGAGCAAAAACACAGGTGACGTCGTGGAGAAATGACCCACCTCCACCTACCCAGGCGAGCTGGGTCCGCCCAGACGGTCACCGCACACGGCTCCCAAGCCAGGGACGGCTCCCAGGGAAGGAGGAAGTCGGGGCTGTATTTTCTGGATCCAGTTTAGGTCTGGATCCCTCACTAACCATGAAGATCAACAATGCCGTCTGTTCTTTGGCAAGGAAGCCAGAGCTTGTTCACTCTGAACTTCGAAGATGGTGGGGAGGAGCCCAGACGCTCCCGGGACGGCTGTCCGGTGAGTACCCGGAGCCGTGTTTGCGGCAGCGGTGCCGGAGGGCGGCCGCGCAGGGGCTGCGGGGAGTGTGCGGGGCTGGCGGGGCTGCCTGCTGTCCTCGCCACCTGGGCAGGTGGGGCGGCCCCCACGGCCCCCCTTCTCCGGTTTCGCAGACTCTGAATAGCCCATTCAGACCCGGAACAATGGTCCTCATGCGACTCACGGTTCTTTTGAAGCTGCTGTTGAGCTGCTTCGGGTCCTTTAGAATAAGCTGCTGGCACTGTCTCCCCTCTGACTTCAGCTCCTCCAGGATGACCCGAAACCCTTTCAGGAATTCGATGCCTGAGCAGAGCGGAACGCTTTCATTAAAGGTGGGCCTAATGACTTCGGAACACACCTCCCTTCCTCCCAGATTACTATTCTCTCTGCCTACGCAGCAGTTACAGGAATTATTAACCCCGGCCAGCACCTCTGCCAGCACCTCTGCGTTCACAGGAAGGAAAAACACACCCTCCGTATCCCTCTGGTCCAGGCCGGGCGATCGTCTCTGCCACGCCATCCCTGCGAATTAGCCTCTGCCCCAGCCGGCCCTCTCACCACCGCCCCCGGCCTCTGGGACGGCAGGGCTCACATGCTCAGACTCCAGTCACAACTGGTCAGAAAGAGTCTGCAGTGGAATACGTGATTTCTAGGTCATTATCAGCCAGGGTGTATTCAACGGACAAATCAGGCGGCTGCCTAGGGACTCTCCCCAAACTGTGATTCCGCCTCAGTCCTGTATTGGCAGGCATGTTTCAGTGAGCAACACGCAAAATTCCCAGCAAAGTGAGTGTCTGCACCCAAGGGGTTCCTGGGCCTGAGATGAAACAGGCGGTGAGCATGCCAGTGCGGTGCACAAAGCGGGGCTGGCTCTAATCTGGCCTGAAAGGCAGGCACCCACGGGCTGCCCAGCGGGCGCTCCTCGCCGGGCACAGAGGCCCCGCACGCCCGCCGCGCCGCTGAAAGGCGCCGGCCCGGCCCCCGCCACCTGAGCTTCCCCCGCTGCACGTCGGACTAGAAGCTTTCAAAAGGATTAAGCTCCGATGTCCGCAAGAGCCAGGCCGGGCTCCGTATCCCAGGGAGACCGGAGGAGTCCAGCGGCAGCTGCAGGTCCCCCCGCCGGCCTCCACTGGCACGATATCGATTTCGCATTCTTTCTGCCGCCAGACAAGGAGAGTGTCCCGCCTTCCCCTCCCGGGGCCAGAGTAATTACACAGGATGCAATTAACCAGGTGGGAAAATGACGGATGGCAAAGGCCGGGGAAATCTTTTTCTCTTTCCAACAGGTTCTCCAATCCTCCAACTATTTGATTAAAAACACGTCTTTTATGGCGGGCTGGGCAAAGGCAGGGCAAGGAGAGATTCCTGTTTCCGGGGAGTCTGCACACGGTGTGTGCAGGTAGCAACTCGGTTATATTCCAAGTACAAAGCTTCCTGAGGGGGTGACACCCTAGCTGACCACTAGCCCGAGGTTCAAACATACTGATAAGATCCGGCAACTATTCAGTAGATCTCACAGAACTAGACTTTTGCAATTCCTCCTTCTCAGAATTAAAAAAAATAATAATAATAATAATTTTTATTGATTTCAGGGAGGAAGGGGGGAAAGTGATAGAAACATCAATGATGAGAGAGAATCATTGATTGGCTGCCTCCTGCTTGCCCCACCCCCAACTGGGGATCGAGCCAACAAGCTGAGCATGTGCCCTGACCAGAAATCAAACCCTGACCTCCAGGTTCATATGTTGACACTCAACTACTGGGCCATTCCAGCCGGGCCTCCCTCAAAATTTTTTTTAACAAATTCTTATCATTTATATTAAGATTTCATTCATGCAATGCCCCCTAGAACCACTACTTTAACAAAAGCCAAGCAATGAATACGATTAAATACTACACGTCACAATTACATAAAAATTAATGTAATTACATTAATGTACAGGGTGGGAGTAGGTGGATCTTGTCTTTATTATTATTATTCAATTGATTTTAGAGAGAGGGGAAGAGGTAGAGAGAGAAAGAGGGAGAAACACCGATGTGAGAAACATCCATCGGCTGCCTCCCGTACGTGCCCCAATTAGGCATGGAACCTGCAACCTAGGTATGCGCCTTGAATGGGGATTGAACCCACAACCCTTTGGTGCACAGATCGATGTACTAACCAACTGAGCCACACTGGCCAGGGCTCTAGTCCTCATTTTTAAAAGACCTGCCAAGCCTGAGAGTGGAGGGAAGAGACAGCAAATGTAAATCTTAAATCACAGGAACACCTTTATCACAATTCTGTTAGCAGTTATATTATTATACTAGAGGCCCAGGACACACGAGATCCGTGCCCTGGGGGGAGGGGGGGTCCCTCAGCCCAGCCTGCACCCTCTCGCAGTCCAGGACGTCCAACTGATGGCTTGGGCCCACTCCCCGCAGTCAGACATCCTTAGCGCTGCTGTGGAGGTGGGCAGCCATGCGCCTGGCTCAGGGCTGCTGGCTGAGCGGCACTCCCCTGTGGGAGTGCCCTGACCACTAGGGACAGCTCCTGCATTGAGCATCTGCCCCCCTGGTGGTCAATGTGTATCATAGCAACTGGTTGTTCTGTCATTCGGTCAATTTGCATATTACCCTTTTATTATATAGGATTGTAGCTATATAGAGTTCAGCAATTTTATAGGACAGCTTCCCTTACAGGAACTTATTTACCCCTTCTCATTGCTTACGTCATTAAATCCTCCTAACAACCATAAAAAAAAAAAAAAAAGGTATCATGATCCCCATTTTATTGACGAAGAAACTGAGGTGTAGAGACATTAAATGACTTGCCCAGGGTCACCCAGGAAATTAAATGGCAGAGGTAGGACTCAAACCCAGAATATTCTTAACCCATATGTTTTTCTGGCTCCCAAAGAGCTTCCTTGACAGAACCTCACAGAAACAGACAGGACCTGTCCAGCCTCCTCCCTCCACCCTCCCCCCAGCCACCTCACCATGCAGGTAAACTACAACCTTCTGCCACGCTGGGCCACATTTCAGTTCCCTGCCACCGGCTCACCTCTCTTCCTTTCATCCTAAAGAGGGAGGCTGCAACCCATCAGGCCAACCCCGTGGCCATTTAGCCTTACAGGGAGCGGCCACCTCCCTTTCATCCACAGAGAATGTGTGTGTCTTTACTCGTTGAGATAATGTTATTTTTGGAAACCCGGTGGGTTCAGACCCGGCGGTACTGACACGGATAAGTGAGCCAGGCCCACCGGCCTGACTCCTCCTCCCTCTCCCTGCACTCACCTCTCCTGCACTCTGGTCCTTCTGAGATGCATCCATCCAGATTTTAAAGTTCAGCCTTTATTTTATTTTCCCCTTGGCCAGATTTTTTTTTTTTTTTAAATACTAAGATTGGGTAGCAATGCCGAAGGACCAGGTTCTGACGATGATAGCAATAGCCACAGTTTGTTAAGAACTCTCTCTAAAACATGTACTGTATTGTGTCTCGAATTCCTACCGCAAACCCAGGGGCAGTCAACTGCCCTCCGCAGGTGGGGAAGCGGGGGCTCCGTGAGGGCTGAGGGCCTCTTGGGATTCTGGGTTCAGACGTAGGCCCCCTGGAAGACAGGGGCCCTTGCCAGCCGCACATTCCACTCTGCCACCCCCCCTGTGTGCCATCAGCTCCCGAGAGAGGACACACAGCGTGGCCCTGACCTGCATCTGGCCAGATAACGCGGGTTTGCTTTTCCTCTGCCTTCCTTCCAGCCTGGTTTCTCCAGCCCACACAGTTTAAATAAAAATTCAGCTCGTTGCCAACATTTTAAAAATTGTTGGTTTCATGGTTTCTCATGAAACCAACTGGGGTTTTCCTGAAAACTCACAGAAGGTGCCAAAGCCGGGCCTGCACACATCTGCGAGGCTGGAGACAGTCCGCGCTGGATGCCAAGCCTTCACGTCCCTGGACGGGCCACCCAGCCTCCCCCCGCGGCCGAGGCCCCGGGGCCAAGTGAGGCCGGGGCCGTGTATCACTCACCGCCAAGTGTTTCAAACCCACGTCTCTCTCCTTAACCGCCACGGGAGCAAACGAGGAGCCACGGGGCACAGCCTCGAGCCGTGAGCATGCCCAGCACACAAGCAGGAGGTGTGTCTGTGCCCAAAACAACCAGCGCTACGCTCCTGTCAGACCTGCCTGGCCCCTGGAGGCCGGGGGTCTGGGGCCCTCACACTGGGCACCACCCACCCAGCCACCCCCCTCCCCCACCATGGGCCCCATTTTGACTGCTTACCCAGGGCCCCTGGGGACCAAAGAATGGTGACTGCCACCTGGTCATGGCAGGCGTACTGGCTGATGGTGATGTTCTGGGCGTCGGCGATCACGTGCTTCCCCACTGGATTCAAGTACGTGGTGCAGTCTGGAGAGAGTTGGGAGGAGAATAGAACAGTCACGTTTAAAAGCCTTTTTTTTAATTATTATTATTTCCAAGTTTATCTTCCCAAGTCACACAAAGCATGCCTGCAGGTGGCCGAATCCACTGTGTGGGCCTCAGAAGCCCAAAGGCGAGATCGAAGGTGGACTGTTTGGAAAAGCAAAAGATGCTGCAGTGAGACTTATTTGTAGCACCAACCCCACCCCCACCACCCCCTCAATTAGATCCCAGGACAAAGATTAGCAGTATCCTTGATGGGCTAGAGTTTGTGTGTGTGTGTGTGTGTGGCATCGACTTTTTTTTACTACTATGAAATTTTACCCGAATCAATAATTGTTTACATTCGTTCAGTTTTCAGCATTAGAGAGTCATTTGAGACACAACAATGGTTGAGTAATCTGGGTTTGCCTGTTTTCAGAAGCAAGCTTGAGGGCAAGGTATCTGGGGGGGAAGAGGAAATAAAATGAGGATGTGACTCCATGGGAGAGGGAAGACGTCATCCACGAGGAGCTGCAAAAGATACTGACTTGGTGATTGGCAAAGCGCCTCCCCGTGTTAGCTGGCATCGGCGAGGGCCAAGCGTGTGTTCCCACTCACCAGGCGCCCACAGCACCCGCCGGGCCCAGAGGCCACACGGCTGAAAAAGACCCGACCCCCTGATTTTGTCCGGGGCCATCGCTCACTGCCACCTGCCAATGCCACCACGACCGCGGGAGCAGCTGCGCCACCCGGTTTTACTAAAGACGCCGTCAGAGTCTGCGAGATCCTAAACGCGCCGGCAGCTCCGGCCAGGCGGCGGGCGGGGTTTCCGAGCACGGCCACGGGCCCTCCGGCCACTCCTCCAGGGAGCCCCCGCCATCCCCGCGCCACCGAGTCCTAGTCTTGTGCTGCTCCGTCTCCGTTTCCTTCTCGATGGTGAAGCTTGAAAACCATCCTCAGCATCTGCAGCCGCAGGTCTTCAATCCCAGCCACCCGCGCCCCCCTCCCAGGTCCGGCTGTTTTCCTCGCTGCGGAGCCTCCACGGGTGTTTTCTGAGAAGCCCGCCGAGTCTGCTGCACTCCCACCCTCTCGCCACCCCTCTCCCCCCAAAACTGGACCGCACAGCTGCCATGTTCAGGACTAAAAATGTCCACTGGTTATTTAAAGATTAAGAGACAATATTAGAAAAACACGAACGTCCCAGAAGTAATGGACAGGCCCTAAATGGTTTGGCTCAATGGATAGAGCATCAGTCTGCAGACTGAGGGGTCCCAGGTTCAATTCCAGCCAAGGGCACGTGCCTGGGTTTCGGGCTTGATCCCCAGTAGGGGGCGTGCAAGAGGCAGCCCATCAGTGATTCTCTCTCATCAATGATGTTTCTATCCCTCTCTCCCTCTCCCTTCCTCTCTGGAACCAATAAAATATATTTAAAAAAATAAAGAAGTAATGGGCAGCCTCCTAAGCTCTGAACGTGCACGTCATCCTCCTCCTTTTAAAATGTTCTTATTGAAGGACAACACACTCACTAACCCACGGAGCTCCGTTTTGCAGCTCCACCCTCCGCACGGTTTTTCATCCTCCTTTCTTGCCTGAACCATCAAGTGTTCTCCCACCTGCTTCAAAACAGCCCTCCTACACTGCAGTGTTACGTCTTCTGAAAAGATGCTAATAATCCAAAAAACTGAATTCTACTTCTGATGAAAATGCACTCTCAGAGCATTCAACATGTGTCCTCTGGGTGCAGGAGAGAATTTTAGAACGAGGGGCGGGGAGGGGGGGTGAGTTAACATCTGGTGCAATATCCTCATTACACAAGTGAGGAAGCTGCATCGAGAGAGGGCAGCTGGGTGGCACAGGATTCACTGCTGACCAGCCCAGGGTCAGGACAGAAAGCAGCCTTGGATGCTCATGCCGGACTCTTGTCATTCCATCCTCAACACAGAGCTGATGATTCGAATGAGTTCTGAGTCAGTAGTATTCAGCCTGCAAAAATCCCAGCTGAGCCCCGCTGCCCAGTATTAAAAAACAGCACGGTCCCCTCCCACCTGCAAAGCTCAAACCTTTTCTCTTATTGAAGTCAATACCCAAAGAGAAACCTTTGACTCCAACTGCTTTAGGAAAAGACACGTGAACAAGAGAAAATCACGGTTGTTTCCTTGGTTCAACCCTAATGCCAACATGAGCACTCTCCTGCTTTCTGTACATGCAATTATGCAAATAAAAAGTCTAAGAATTTATTTTGTCTTAATTCTTAAGACAAAAAAGTCTAAGAATTCAGAAAACTGTATTACAACCTACTCAAGCATTTCCCCCACTCAGAGCCTGAAGAAGAAATTAGAAATGCAATGCAAAAGGAGGCAAGGAGACCTGTGAAATTTGGTTATGATTTCATGGCAAGGTGTTTTCTTTCTTTATAATATCAAACGGCAAAAGAATAGAAAAATAAGATTTTGTAGTTTAATACTTTTAGTGAAAACTTGGTAATTGGCTTTTAGCTATTTCAAACAGAACTAGCAACCAGTCAACTAAGCCATAACAGGAACTTCCTTATGAACGAGAGAAACCTATTTCTCAATGGAAAACAATAAATGTACTTTACACAGCCTGGATCCAATTATTAGCAACTCAACTCTAATGTTTTGGATTTTGGTTACCAAAAAAAAAATAAAAAGTATGCCCAAATGACATTTTGCCAAAATGCAACTGAACTTTAGATGTCTTAGGAGTCAATTCCAGTTGTGAATTAAATTCTAATTAAATGCTGCAAACTTAGAAAGAAAATAAGAGATACCCACTGGCACACGGGCCAACTATCTAGTCTCATGAAGAAAACAATAAGATACATTTAAGTTCCACAGGTACAGATCCTCTTTCACAAATCCCCCTATTAAATCAGAGATGCACATACTTGTTTGCAGCTGACCGGAAAATCCTGAACTTTTGAATGTAACACAAGATCTGCCAGGACCAAGAACATAGACTAGAAATTAACTTTCTAACTCAAAGAAAGATCCCTTACACATGTCTTTACTTAGCTGAATTAAGTATCAGGGACTTGCAAATCCTTCATGAGTATCACAACATGCACTGAGAGCGCGCACACACTGCTAACATGAAATGACTGTTTTGTCTGGAAGTCCCTTGTTTCGGGCATGCGTTCGACATACATACGTGTATCTCAAAACCGTTAGACTGTACACCCCCAGGGAGGCCCTGCTCTAGCTGTGATCACTCCAGAGGCCCCGTGTGACCTCCTGCCTCCTTCCTCCTTCCATGGACTCTCCTAACCCTCCCCCCAGAGGTGAGTCCAAGGGCAGGGGTCCCTGAATACCAGTCAAGCTCCTTCTTGTCATTTTTGCTTGTAAATGATGGCTCCGAAGGCTAACGTGCTCACAACTGTATGTAATTACCTTCGTGGGCGTGAAAGCCCAGGAAGAGGCTATGCATGCTCAATCAGAAAGAGCGCCCCGCCTTGCCCTCAGGAAACACGTCAGCCAGAAAAGGCCACGTAGCCGTGAGAGAAGGGGCCAGAGAGGTGCTTGTGTGCCGACTCCAGTTGGAATAACTTCTAATATTGACAGATGTCAATCACTGAGTGCAGGCCGGCTACCGGTGAGCGGTCGCTTTGTGTAAGCCTCAAATGATGCTGAGGAACACCTTAGGTTGGTTTGCTTACTTTTGTACTTTACATGCATTACACTACTACACTCATATGCAAAAAAATTACACTAAGGAAGAAATTTTTTTTTTAATTTAATCTTTGCCCTAGCCGGTTTGGCTCAGTGGATAGGGTGTCGGCCTATGGACTGAAAGGTCCCAGGTTCTATTCCGGTCAAGGGCATGTACCTTGGTTTCGGGCACATCCCCAGTAGGGGGTGCGCAGGAGGCAGCTGATCGATGTTTCTCTCTCATCGATGTTTCTGACTCTCTATCCTTCTCCCTCTCTGTAAAAAATTCAGTAAGATAAATTTTTTAAAAATAATAAAATAATAAAAATTTGATCTTTGTTTGACAGTGAGAAAACTGAGGCTTGGAGAAGTCCAATCACCCAATGCGATCCTCGGGGAACCGGGGTTGGAACCCAGGCCTGAATCAGAGACGGCAGCCAGCCGAAGGCCCGAGTGCCAATCTGGAACAGGCGGCTCCCTTGGCCCACTCTGTGTCTCTGAGAACTTTTAAATAAATGCCAGTGTTAAAAAATGTTCACAAAAACATCCAAATCTCCCGCTCGCTCTTCCTGGAAATCACTTCTGGCTCTCCTCGGGGGAATTCCTCAAGGCCACGGCGGCTGGACCGAGGGGACAGGGCCGCCCGGGCCACAGCCCCTGCGCTGGGTGGCCCTGCAGACAGCTGCATCTGTTCTCCGGCCACGGCCACATCCTCAGGCAATCGGGGGGGCCTCTGTACACTGTTTCTCCAAACACCACGGAGACGGCTTGAGCTGTCCCAAATTCCTGAGGGGCTTAGCTGAGACTGAGCTGCTTTAGCTCTGCTGACAGAACCTGAGTGGGTTCCGAAGATCCCTTCACCCCGGGCCCTGCAGGGTCCTTGACTAAGTGCGACCGTGTAAGCCCTGGCTCCCTCACAGGGCTCCATTCTTCGGAGGTCACGCCAGTTACTTACTGTCATATCTGAAGGTGATGTTGTGCAGCCCGCTGTTTCTGCTAGCCGGCCCCACTCCCTGCGGGAAAACAAGAAAACACGATGAGGAGGGAAGACAATTTGCTCTTCCGGCACCGATCCCCGCGGAGTCAAACCGCACACAGGAGACCCAGGCACATGCCCGGCTCCACGCTTTCCCAGCTCCGGGCCCCGCTGGCCGCCCGGCTCCCTCCAGATCAGGGGACCCGAACCGTGGGCCCTGGAGAGGGACCGTGAGCACTCACTTCCCTAAGACAACAGGGGCAGGCTGTTCTCTGTTTGGGGCTCAAACAATAACTCATTAACAGTGAAGCTGGGGGAGAGCGTGAGTTGCCAGCTGGAGCCCTCCCAGGTGGTTCTGAAGCCCGGATCGGTTATAAAGTCACCGAGCAGACACCCGTCCAAGAGCTCTGTTAAGCCACGACAGATAGGCCATTCCTCCAGTCTAAGGAAACGGGTCTCTCGTTCCAAGACCAGGAAAGAGTGTGGGAACAAGCTGTTACTTTTAATGAGAAAATTCTTCTCTGCATCCGTACCTTCGCTTGGAATATATAGGGTGGGTTATAAAAGAAAAAAAGAAAGAAAAAAAAAGACGTTAAAAGGTCTAACTCCAAAGCTTGGCGATGTGGCCGTCAGCCATCTGCGTGCTCAGCAGCAGGGATAACAACTCCGCCAGGCTTCCCGCTTTAATGAGAGGGCACCCGGGATCCTCCCGCGCCCGCCTCCTCCTCACCCACCGCTCACCCACCCTGGGAACGAGGGGCTCCGGCCTAACCGTCTCTGTAACGACCTGCAAACGTGCCCCTCGGCATACGCTACAGAATTCCCCCAAACATGCTAATTCTGGGGTGCTAAGTGATGGGGAAATATTCCAGCCACACCGCTGAAGTTTCCACGCCATCAGAGGGCCGTGGGGAAACCATATGCTGGCGGCCCGGCACTTAACGGGCAATGGTTACGGCGAGGCACCCAGTGCAGAGCGCTTCTGGGAGCCGGGGTCTCCGGCCACAGCCCGGCACCGGCACATGCTCCCGGGTGCTCACACGGCGCCCCCGAAGCCAGGCACGCCTGCTGAAACCGTACCCCTGAGCTCAGACAGACGGGACCCTGGGAAAGCACAGCTGTGCAGAGGGGGACAGAGGGACACACACACACACACACACACACACACACGCCGTTCTCATTAAAATGAGGAGTGCGCAGTCACAGAAAGTCTAAATCAACATGATGTACTGGCCCACTGTACGCCTCCTGGGGCTCCCCTTCTCCCTGTCCCCCTCCTTCTCCAGCTTTCCCTTCCCATCCTCCCTCCCCCCACCAGCACAGGATTCCAGAATTTCTCACGGAGAACACTTTGGAAAATGTGGCCACCTTATGAAAAGCCCAAACTCTGCCATCACTGCTTAGCGATGAGGCCAGTGTGTGCAACAAGAGGACACCCCCGCCCTCCACCCAGGTGGCCAGGACCAGAGCAACAGCGCCTGCAGGAGGTCAGGAGACAAAGCCACCCCACAGCCCGTCGGTAATGCCCGAGAACTCAGCCGCGGGCTTCTCCCCCCTTCCACCCCCGACATGCCTCACTCGGCATCTGTTAGGAGCCGGACAGGATGCTGGGGACAGGGGTGAGCAAAGCAGCCAGGGTCCCTGCCTCGGGGGCGAATAGCTCACTCTTCCAGAGAAGAGAGACTGGGTACATGGGTCACAGGCAGGGCACACAGGCAAGCCTCAATACCCGGCCTTCCAAGAACTCCGTGTCGATGGCATACAAGATACGTGTGGCAGGGTGAGGGGGGGGGAGAGCCATAAAGAAGCATGCAGTGTGCGAAATGCCCGGGCAGCGCAGCCATGACCGGGAGCGTAGCAGAGGGGAGGGTAACGGAGCTAGAATTGAGAGAAAAAGGCAGCGTCACGGGAGGGAAACAAAAACACAAACTGGGGCCCACAGTAACCTCCTCGGTCCTTCATCCTCCCTCTGACACCACAGGCAAACCCCGGTGGGCCCCGCCTCCTCCACTGGTTTTTACAAAGGCAGTTTGCGTGGCACGGCCGGTGTGGCTCAGCGGTTGAGCATTAGTCCAGAAACCAAGAAATCATGGTTCGGTTCCCAGTGGATTCCCAGTTGGGGCACATGCCTGGATTGTGGGCTCGATCCCCAGCAGGGGGCCTGCCGGAGGAAGCTGATAGATGATGTTTATCTTCCATCGATGTTTCTATCTCTCTATCCCTCTCCCTTCCTCTCTCTTTAAAAACCAATACTTTTTTTTTTTTAAAGGATAGTTTGCGGGACCTCCCCAGAAGGAGGGTAAGGAGGACCTTGTGAAGCCACGCAGAGAAAGCACTTTTCGAAAGGGGAACGAACGCACCTGTTCACAGCACATAGGATTCTAGTGACCAATCCCCGTCCTTGTAGGCCTCTGTCACCTTCTCATTTTTTCCTTGTCTCTTCCCTGTACTTCTATTGCAACATGGTTTTACAGGTCATTATTAGGCAGTGGCAATGAGCAATGCATGGTGGGAAGGAGCCCCAGGGAGAGGTGCTGTATCCTTCAATCGGAACCTAAATGCCGCCAAAGGAGGTCTTTGTGACAATGGCTGACTGTTCCTCATGAACCGGCTGCATGTGGCACCCACTCACCACCCACTGAGCTCTCCACCTTGGCCATGATGGGCTGGGCACTTGGCCCTAAACTAGACTTGGGTCCTGACCTCAGGGGACTCTGGCCAGCAGGGTGCTCTCCTCCTGTGCAAACCTGCCCTCCTCCCTCTGCTCCAGGCCCGCCACGGGCTTCCTGTGCCTCCTAAGCCATCCCTGACGGGTTGCTCTCCTCTCTCTTCTTCCAGACCCCGCTGCAGCTCAGCATGTTCTTGGGCTCTTCCCTATTCCCAGAATGCCCTTCCTACCCCCCCAAATCCTGCTCCCCCGTGGGCTTCCCAGCTCAGCCCAGCCGCTACCACACTGTGTTCCTGATCATCAGCCAGCCTGCACCCTCACCTGATGTGAGCACAGGAGTATCACTGCTGACGGAGATATAAAATGGTCCCTCTAACTCCACAGAAAACCAGAGACCCAGAGACCCTGGGGCCATCCGAGCCGGGCCATGGAGTTTGGAGCAAGGACACCATCGCAGGTGCCAGCGCTTGCGTGTGCTGTGAAGGCCTTTCCTGCCCAGACCTCACGGAGGGCCTGGCTTCTCAGGATGTGCATCAGACGATGCCACCGCGCTGTCCTCAGCTCACACCCAAAACCCGCTGGCCCTGCTCCAGAGCCCTCAGCGGCCTGAGAAATGGTGTGCCTGGCCAGCCCAGAGAGCCAGGCTGCTTTCTTCGCCCTTTGAGGGACTCAGGATAACAGCACCCCTAACATGCCCACATTGAAATCCCACACTGAGCCTGTGTTACTTTACGCAGGGAAAAGAACTGTGTCACTAATTTTGAGGATCCTGGGTTGAGGAGACTATTCTGTATTATCCAGGCGGGCTCAGGTAATCGCGAGGGTCCCCATAAAAGGGAGACAGGACGGTCAGAGTCAGAAGGAGGTGTGGTCACGGAAGCAGGAGGCAGACAGAGGGACAGACACTGCCCTAAGGATGCTATGCTACTGGCTGCGAAGGGGGAAGAGGAGTAGGGGCTAACAAGCCAAGGAATGCGGGCGAACTCCCAAACTCCGGTGCACTGGGAAAAGCCAGCAGCGGATTCTCCCAGAGCCGTGATCGGCAAACTGCGGCTCTCGAGCCACTTGCAGCTCTTTGGCCCCTCGAGTGTGGCTCTTCCACAAAACACCATGGCCTGGGGGAGTCTTATTTTGAAGAAGTGGCATTAGAAGACGTTTAAGTTTAAAAATGTGGCTCACAAAAGAAATCTCAATCGTCGTCGTACTGCTGATATTTGGCTCTGCTGACTGATGAGTTTGCCGACCACTGTCCCGGAGCCTCCAGAAGCAGCCAGCCCCGCAGCACCAGGATGTCAGCCCCGCGATGCTCATTCTGGAATCCTGACTTCAAAACCTTGAAGGGGATGCATGTGTGCAGGGTGAGCCACTGAATTGTGGTCATGTACCATAGCAGCAAGTCAACGCTCACACACACACACACACACACACACACACACACACACGTAATCTCAGCTGCAGTATGAACGAAATGGATTTCAATGTCACACACGCCATGAGCAGTCACTCGCCGCCTCCCGCACACGCCCACAAGCAAACCCGCCGCTTGTCCCTGCACCCTCCCCCACCGGGCTGAGCAGACTCGGAGCACCGTCCCTCAGAGCTGCAGCCCGAGGCGTTGCCGTCCTAGACACAGGCTTCGGGGGCCGGGGGCCTGCCTGAGGCAGGAGAGCGGTTAACATTATGGGCTCTGGGGGTGGCCCAGATGTGTGTTCGCATCGGTGCCATTCTGCAGCTGTGTGACCTTGGGCAAGGCGCTAACCCTTCCTGGGGCCCCTCCCCTGAGCTATGAAGTGTTGGACTGACACTGCCTGGAAGGGCTGGGGTGGGGGCTGTGAGTGAGGACACACGCCCAGTGCTCTGCACAGCATCGGACACATCTTGAAACGGTTATGTCTTCATTCTGGCAAAGATTCCTGCCCCAGTAAACATCGTGGAAGCATCCCTTACCAGGGGATACGCGAGGCAGCGGGGGGAGCGGATGCTCACAGGATCTTCAGGTGGGACCTGTCTCCGGCCTCCAGACCTTGGTGGGATTGTGGGAAGTGAGGGAGACGAGCAGGTGGCAGAAAGCACGGATCACCGGGCCAATCAATGGGCTCTGCTAACGGTCTTGGTGGGAACTGGGGACTCCAGCCCAGGGACTCCATCTCTGAGACATTGGACCGGATCGGGTTGGACCAGATTAGGAGAGACGAAACGCAAAAGGCAAAGTGACCAGAACAGCTCTCTGTGCCCCCACCAGTGCCTGTCCGACAGTCCCCGGCCTGGCACACAGCCAGCCCTCAGTAAATAGTTTTCTGTCTGAATTCATGAATGCTTGATCGAGCCGGACCATGCACACAGAGAACCCAGGAGTAGCAGGCTTGGTG